TTCATATATTCATAAAAAATACCTTAAGAAATCTAAGAAAAAAATTATGGTATATTCATAAAAAATAACTTAAAAAATTCATGCTGAGCACGCAAACACAGCAAAAGAAATCACAAGTGGGTCCCAACAAGTATTACAGAAGTCGCATCTCTATTGGTTGCTGCTAAGTTCAGCCATCCAAACGGTGCCACGTCATTCGGTGACGGTGCGAACCCCGAAACGTGCGGTCCGAAATAATGACTTCTTGCAGCTGTGATGATAGAGAGCAGGACCCACGTGGATAAATCACAGCCCCACATCATAAATATTAGCACTTTTAGTGATTTTTCAGATCTAATTTTAATTTTAATTGTATAAAGACAAGAATGAATCAATGAATGCCTGAGCTTGGTGCTTCAAGGCTAATGGGTTTTAATCACGTGTTTGGTTGTTTTTTTTATTTTAATATTACCTGGTTTTGTTTATAAATGTGATAATAATTAGAGAGATGATGTAAATTTGGGTGGAGGGATGTGAGGTTACCATTAATTAATTTTATTTAAATTTGATTATAATTTGAGAGATGATGTAAATTGGGGTGGAAGTGATGTGAGGCTACTATTTGATCATATGCTTGAAACTCTCGGTTCACTTCATAGAAAAAAATTAATGGCTACTTTAATTCTACTCGAGTAATTAATAAAATTAAGCTGTCTAGTTAATCAATTATAGATGAACAAATACAAAAACAATTATATGTTTGTAGTACAATAATATTTAATATGCTCACTTTTTTTTTGTTTTAATTGAATATTGGATGAAGGATTTTATTCATTTAACATTAATTCCATCCTAATTTTTTATTATCAAAAACCTTAAAAATCCAATCCTTAATAATTAAGATCTAAAATTAGTAAATCTTCATTAATAATAATAATAATAATAATATAAGGTCAGTCAAGGATGGGATAAAACCCCTCCCCTACTTAGTGATAAATCGGAGCGGATTCTATTTTAATTTTGGTTAAAATAAATAAAAAGTTAAATGCATTAGGTGATACAAGTAAGGTTAAATTCATCTATAATTATACATCATATTTTTAATTAATTAATTTTTCAAGGTAAAACAAGAAAGGCTTTTCTCAATATACATAATTTATAATTAGCAAGAAAAGATTGACCGAAAATATTTTTAATGAGAATTATTAAACAAATTTTTCGTGGCATCATTAGAGCAACGAATAAAAGAGTATTCGTTGCTTCATTTGCATAATTTCATAAACAAATGCCCATAGATTCCACATGATCAAGACGCTTTTAAAGTGTTTATTGCATTATCAATCATTCAAAATCAGTATATAAAATTGTTAATTTGAAACCTGAGTAAACAAGTTACCCGTGATTTGATAACTCCAATTTAGATTCAGTTGAATTTCAATAAAAATAGAGAAAAACAAACTTAGTATAATTTGATTAACTTAAGATTGATCTGCATCCTGATTAAATTAAAAAAAATAATTAAAATTTAGTTCATATTAGTTAATTTTTAAATTTTTTTAAATAATATTTTTTTTAATTTTTTTAAATTAAAAATTTTTATTTAATTTAATATTTTTTTTCTCGATACGCCCAAGTTGTGATTAAAAACTATGCTGATAAAAGTTTTCTACTTTGTATTGACTTAATTTATGAAAAATAGAGACTTCAGGTAAAAAGTTGGAAAAAAAAGAGAGAGCGCACCAAAATGCTTGTAAAATTCACGTGTTTAATGTGGAGCCCACTTGTTATAAGTAGGTCCCGCAGAAACAAGCCAGCAAAAATACGATCCTGCAAGTTGCGAGCTTAATGATAGTGGCTAGCCCAGGCCGGACCGCGAGCCGCTCCCGAGTACAGAGAAACCTCAGGCTCCATCATTCCCCATCTCAAGTGGGACCCATAAGCCAACATAATCTGCTTGGCTCACCTAGATCTAGCCGGCTTCACATAGAATTTTCTATAATCCTGTAGTTCGGAGGATCGTCCCTTTCTCCAAAGCTAGTGGCCGGTTCGTAGGCCCACTTGTAAGAATATAGCAGGAGTAACTATTAAGGATGGTCACTTTGTCTTGGGTATAGAACATGAACAGACAATTCCACTTACTTTTGTTTTCTTGGTGCTTTGAATTATTGTATTTATCGAAATCAAGTCTATGATAAGTTATTTAGAATCTCACCACATGTTATGCAAGTAAATTAGGAGTAAATTTAGCCTAATAACCGAGTCATCGATGTTAACTACATGTAATATTCAAGTTTTTAAGATAATGATTTCTCGATTATAATTATATTAAATGAAGGATATTTTCAATTGTATAGTACAAGATTCATTTAACTTTATATTGTTTTGAATAGTAATAATATTAATAATATTAATAATAACAACAACAATAACAATAATAATAATATCATATGCTATTCTACTTGTATCTATATATTATTTATTTTTGGAGTCAATATTAGTGATTAATGCATTTCATCTAATAATAAATCTAATCTGAATTTATTATAAAGCAATGACACCATAATGAAGAGAATATTGATTTGAGTCTTACCTATTTAATGACGAATTTATATAAAAATAAAATAAATAAATAAACTTTCACTAAATAATTTTTTTAAAATTGGATTTTTGTTGATTATAGACTAGAACTATAACTATGATTTATTTATGATCCAAAAAAATTCTCTTTTTAATTTTGTTATATCAAATCATAAACACAATTGAAAACACAATAGAAGAACTAAATCTTAAAATATCCAAATTATACATAATAATAAAATGAAAGTTTGAGTTCAAGAACTAATATCGAACAGGAAAAAACTATGGTTAAAAAAACCCATTGAGAGACAAGAAAAGAAAATAACAAACCAACCAAACCCAGCCACCTTTGACACTACTTGCCTAGTTAATAGCCGAAAACACTCTGAATCCAAAACGGAACGGGGTAAAAGCACTGGCTGGAACTTGAACGGGGCTTGAGCTCCCGTAGCAAGACACCAAGCTTAAAGACTATTTTATACGTTTAAAAAAAAAAGGGGGTAAAAGTAAAAGACATTATGATTGTGAGCATGGAAACGTATCGGTCACGAGCAAAACCGGTACGTTAAATAATATTAAATTATAATGTAAAAGGGACTAAACTACTCCTTAGCATAGATATAATACTTAAACCCGTCCAGCATGTCAAGACCTGGATTCTTGCTGATTTCTAGTTGGGGTTGAAAAACTTAATAAAGAAAAAAAATTTCTTTGATTCAATAAAAAAAATATGAGTTAATTTGGTGACTTAATCGAATCATGCTTTATCTAGTTAAAACTCAGAATTTTTTTAAAAAATTATTAAAATAATATAATTTTAATATATTTATTTTTTAAAATAATTTTTTTTAATTTACCTGTAACCTGAGTTTTATCCTGTTTAAGTTTTATACAACTATGCTTCTTAGTATGTCAGCAAATTAATTTGCATTAAATAGTAGATTTATGATTTTTCACAAAAAAAATAAAAAATTACGTGAAGTTCTATTACGGTATAGTTTTATTAAAATCGTGTTTTATTATCTTTAAGATTTGATTTTTATAATGGTGAAGTTAGAAACTTTTAGTTGGAGGAGATGACGATGAGTGCATGCTCAAATAAGAACTTCATTCGTACATACAAAAGGATTGATGGATACAATAAAATTAACACTAAAAGCTAGGCTAAAAAATAGTTGAAAATTCTCAAAAGTTCTTAAAGCAGGGGGGAACTGTTATAGTAGTTTCTTTGAGGGCTGTGGCATGCCTTCATTCCCATATATACTTTATTAAAAATCGATCGAATTCTTATTATTAACTTAGTAATTTTTTAAATATATAAAGAACTTTACCAAAAGGAACGGCGTTTAATTATTATTTTTTTACGTAAATCATTAGAGTTAAGATTTATATTAGGATGGAAAAACAAGTAATAAATTAAACAAATTAGCATTCAAAATTCAAGGGACTGGTATAGTTTGGGTACCGGCGCCTACTTCAGCCAGAACACCGGTGAATTATTCCTTGACAAAGTTTTTTTCATTTTAAGAGATTATTACTTGTCCAATGACAATAACAAGTATTGGCATTAGAGAAACTTCGAAATTATTGTTTATGCACAAATGACATGCTTTTAATTTCACCTCAAATTAAGGTGGCTATAATCTTGTTGCCGCAAGCTACCTTGAAGATAGCACCTCATATATAGCTAAAAAAACAGCACGACTCCCATAGACATCCTAGCATTCAATGAAGTAAAATGAAGTCTTCTTTCATGTAAAAAAAAAAAGAACAAAGGAAAAAGCTTGAGGTTACCATTTGGTATGTGACTAGCAATACTTAGTGCCTAGCTAGGAATTGGATATATAGGAATTGAAATCTGCTCATAGAGGTCATAATTCAGCAATTCCAAATAGATCATATTTCATGAAATTAACCATAATGTATAGACAAATTGGATGGTTCAATCTTATAGAACAAAAAATAAGTTTGCATTACATAAAGAAACTAAATATCCATATCTTGCCCAGACTAAGAATTATCACGGTGATTATAAAACTCACCAATCTATTTACCCCTAAGTTTAAAGAAAAAGAGTAGCCAATTCTATGGCCACACCTATTGGTGCCGGACCACAATACTGCGATAGAGAGACCATGGTAGATCCAACATCATCATTCTGGTTTTATCACAGTTAAGACTTCTAAGAAATGGTAGGGACTAGGAATGGAGTTTAGGGCTAGCAAGGGCCACCATGCCACTTTCATGGAAAAATAAAAGAAATAGAGAGTGATGATATGTAGTTTGTGTGTAACTTTGTGGCTGGTGGCTGTTCCATTACGTCACCACCAATATCATCACCATTTTTTTCCTTCTCTTTTTGGGGCCTTCTAGCTACTCTTTTAAGCTTTCTTGATTGGTCTGTTCAGTGAGTTTATCCCTTGGCAATTCCACCATTTAATCACCCCTCTATATATCTCTCTCTTTCTCTCCCTATTTCTTCGTGTGTGCTGGCTTCTCTTCTCAGTAGGGTCCCTATCAGTTGCGGGTAGAGGAAGAAGTAGAGAGATCAAGAGAGGAGGAGTTTTGGGATTACCTAGCTAGCTAACCTTCTATTTTTGCCACCTTTTTCCCGCCCAAATCTTGTCCACCAATCTAGCTCAATTCGATAACGAGAGCTTATGATGTTGAATAACATTTATGAATCATTGATGATAAGAATATTTGGCCTTTAGGGTTCTCTCTTTTCTTGGTCTCTCTCTTTCTCTCTCTCATTTAACCCTACTCGTTATCCCTTCTCCCATTCCTCTCTTCCCCAGCTTTTTTCCTTGTAGAGTGTGTGATGTTCTTTATTTGACTTCCTTGGGATCCAATCCGACAACTGGACAAGCACATTTTTAGGCTGGAGTGAAAAAAGGGGGTCAGGGTTCAATTTCCAAGGAGAAGTTATAAAGTGCTTTTGTTGTCTTGTTTCCTTTTCTGATTTTAGGAGCTTCCTCTATAGTTGGAGTGAAGTTGAGAGCTAGAGCAGCCAAAAGTTTCTGTCTTATCCTTCTACTTTTGGAGAAAAAACGGTTTTGCTTTGTTGAATTCAAGGAAGTTTCAGTCAACAATACAGATCTCTGTGGGTTACAAGGACTAGAGATCGATCTTGGTTTTTTTATCCGTGAGCTCTCTCTTCTCTTGATTTTTTTTATTTTTTGCTTATGCACGGAATATTATAATCCGAGGATCATTTCTTAACAAAATCAATGATATTTCATGTTTGGGACTAGATGAAAATGAAATTTGGAAAAAGGATTGATGAAGAAATCAATACGGTGGATGTTCATACAGATCCATAATAATCTGAGAAATAATTTTTTTCTTGAAAATTAAAAAGACAAGGATATATATATATATATATATATATAGCTAAAAAGGATTTTGTCATGATCTTGAATACCTAGTGCATTTTATTAATCATGATTAACAGTACAATTTCATTCATCACAAATGTTTGATCTGGTATTTTATATTTTACACCTTTTTATGGGCTGTATTGCTTGTTTTTCTCCTGTTCCATATCATGGAATGTCCATAATTCTGCATCATAAAAATGATATTGCGTGATGGTTATGGCTTTGCCAAAAAATTATCATCACATGCGTGTTCATTGAAGAGGAAAGTTAGGAAAAGATCTCAGCATATTCAGTGGCTAAATCTTCTTTAGAAATAGTCCATGTGCTGAGACTTTTTAGTTTTGTGTTGACCTATTACAGCAGTTTTTTTTGTTCTCCTTACTGCAATCATCTTTGGTATGATAAAAATGGAGCTGGAAACAACAAGCTTTTGGTCTGTGTATAGTGCTTAAATAAGAAAACCTAAATTCAGTACTTAATTCATTCAACCAGTTGAATATTATTTCATGATTACATTATCCTTTTTCATAATTACACTGAAAAAATTGATATTCCCTTCCAATCTTGCCTTTTCCATCTTAATAAGAACCCTTAATCCATTAATCATTTGTACAAAAACGTCTTTTCTTATCATTTGACCTCAAGAAGAAAGAAAAATAGAAAAAGTTGGAGATATTTTGATTTAATTGGTCTTAACATCTGCATGCACACGGTAAAAAGTGTTTTCCTTTTACTCGGTTCAATATTTTTTGCGCGCAAGTTTACTCTTTTTTTTTTATTATTATTATTGGTTACACACGGTAAAATGATAAAAAAAAAAAAAAAAAAAAGAAGAAGAAAATAAGATGATACTATATATAGCAACATTATTTTTTTTTCTCTTTTTGATTTGCATTAAAGATCTTCTACATGTTTGTTTATTTTAATAGCATTTAGTTATTGTTTTGAGATAGAAAATAGAGCAAATGAGACATGTTTCTTTATATTTTTTTATTTTAAAAATACATAAATTCATTCTAATATTTTATCATAAATATCTAAATGATTGTTTTGCCTCTATGACCCAAATATATCTCTATCTTTTTTGTATCTATATTTTCAATTCTTGGGCCAAAAATATTGTTTTTTGTGATAGTTCTTGAAGTTTCTTCTGTTTTCATATTATTTGTAAATGATTGTTTTGTTTCTATGCCAAAATCATCTTTTAATATGGAAAAATAGTTTACGTTATACAATATCTCCCCAGCTTACCCTTTACAAGAGAAGTGGCCAAGAAAATAATGCTTCTGTGGCCCGAAAATATTGCTCAGTTTTTGGGTTTTCTAATAATTTTTTTATGATTTAATCATGTGGATATATATGGTAAAAATTTAAAGTTTTTTTTTTCATTTGTCAAAATTATCATGGTTTGGACACAATAAATAATATGTCAATAAACGGGGATGTACGTGTGTGTATCTCATATTGTATTCATTAACAAAAAACAAAATTTAGTATATTATTTAAAATTGATAATTATAAGTGTAGATTGGAGCTCATGTCTTGATTTATCTTATATGGTTGTGCAGAAGAGAGCTGAAATAGTGAACATCTTGCGTATATAATCATAAACTAATTCATTCTCCAGCATATGTCCTGAGGTTTTTCTCTCTTCATCCAAGCTTTCCAATCTACAAATCAAGGGAACAAAAGGTGTGTGGCGGCATGCATCATAGTTACCCTGATTTTTGTTTTTATAGCAACTATAAAAAAAAACAAGATTTAGTTTGAGATGATCTAGTCAAAATAAATTTACAACTTGAAAAATGCACTTCATTTAAAATGAATTTTGAACAATGAGGTGTGCATATGATAGCTATGCAGATGGAGATGTGATCATTTCTGCCACAATATTATTGTACAGGAACTTGAAGAGAAGGATAGACTTAATTTTATTCATTTAATGCTGCTCCTGTTAAATTTCTTCTTGGAGAATTATTGTTTTTGTTTTTCATTTTAAGGGAGGGAGAGCCAGCCATTTAACATGCTGGCAGGTTACAGAAATTCTTGGTTTTTCATCAGGAACAATATTAAGAAAAGCTGGAAAATCTTTGAAAATAAGTCCTTCAACCCAAGTACAAATTGATATTTGAAAAAATAACTTTCTACGTTCTACAAGGAAATTGCTAGTATATATATACACTTTTCGTGGATCTTCACCCCTTTCAGAATTTCTAATAAACAAAGGGGAAGGTTTTGCAATGCTATGCATTTCAGTAACTGTCAAAGATATTGAATCTTTAAAGTAAAATTAAAACCCAAATAAGGATTGTAATTAAATCCATTAATTATGAAAATGGATTTTCTTCTTGTATAAATTTGATAATTGTATGAAAATATGCACATGCTAATGTGGTGTGATAATTGGATTGCAGGACTCGAGGCCTAGCAGGATCAGAAAATGAATTCTTTTACACACGTTCCTCCTGGTTTTCGATTCCATCCTACCGATGAAGAACTTGTCCATTACTATCTTAGGAAAAAAGTAAATTCAAGAACGATTGACCTAGATGTCATTAAGGATGTCGAGCTTTACAAGATTGAGCCTTGGGATCTTCAAGGTGGTACTGCAAAAAATTCTTGCAAATACCCTATATTTGGAGACCATGAAAGTTCACTAACTATTATATGTTTTTTTTGCATATCTTGAGCATATAAACAGAACTATGCCGAATAGGAACCGAGGAGCAAAATGAATGGTACTTTTTTAGCCACAAAGATAAGAAGTATCCTACTGGCACTCGCACAAATAGAGCCACTGTTGCAGGATTTTGGAAAGCAACAGGTAGAGACAAGGCAATTTATTCGAAGCACGACTTGATCGGAATGAGGAAGACCTTAGTCTTTTATAAAGGTCGAGCTCCGAATGGACAGAAATCGGACTGGATTATGCATGAGTACAGACTTGAAACAGATGAAAATGGGACTCCACAGGCAAGCATAATCATAAAAAATTCTTCATTTAGTGTTTTCTTGGAAGCCATTAATTTTTAAGTCTTAACCATAGCTACACAATTTTTTTCGAGTGTGAAAGTGTTTTTTTATGTAATTTTGTTGCAGGAAGAAGGTTGGGTTGTGTGTAGGGTGTTCAAGAAGAGAATACCAACGATGCCAAAAGTGAGTGAGCATGAATCAGTTTGCTGGTATGATGATCAAGTTGCATTCATGCATGACTTGGATTCACCAAAGCAAAACTTCCAGCCTGACTTGGGTTATCAATTCCCTTACTCCTGCAAGAAAGAGCTGGATTTTCAGTACCAAATCCCTCATGATCACTTCCTCCAGCTCCCACTTCTACAAAGCCCTAAACTTCTGCAATCGGCTCCTACATTAAGTTGCAATTCGATCAATGCTGCATATGGCCTAGACATAAACCAGACAAGCACTTTGCAATCCTCAACACTCACTCAAGAAGATCAAGTTCAACAGACACGAGAGCAAAGATTTCCCACCATCTATGGTAACAACAACAGCAATCATGAGCAAGCAGTTGATCAAGTCACAGACTGGAGAGTGCTTGACAAATTTGTTGCTTCTCAATTGAGCCATGAAGATGTGATCAAGGAAACTAACCACCCAAATGCTAGCAACAACATTTTCAACACATCATCAGTCCAGGCAGCAAACATACTTGTTAGACACTTGAATAAGCAAGAAGCATCCGTGCAGGAAAACGCCTCGACGTCAACCTCCAGTTGTCAAATTGATCTATGGAAGTGATGATATCAAGCCAAAATCTATTATTCATGGCATAAACTGATCATAGGATGTTTCAGTTTGAAAGCCAAGGGAAATTATTATGATTTTAATTAAGTTCATGTACATAATAAAACATAAAACAACATATGTAGCTTTAACTGTTGTTGTTCTAGCAATAGCACATATAAATTAAGTTAATACTACAAAACTAGACTATCGAAAACCATTATGTTTAATTTCTTGTAAGATGAAATGTTTCTTAAGTGGATTGTGGGAGTTGAGAGTTGGTGTGAGTAAAGGGAGTACTTGAAGCAAGTACGTAAAGGTTTAATATTGTGTAGCCTATGGTCTAGCGGCCATGTACGTGCTGTTTATGGAATCTATGAGATTACGGATATCAAATCTGCCTGTAATTTCAACTTTGAAGTGTTAGAATAAAGGCTTTCTGTTCCTCTTGCTGCATTTGTGCGAAGTTGTATTTTCGTATTAGATCACTCAAGCTCGAGACATTACTCCTCTTCTTATTTATATATAATTGGCAGGATATGGGTAGCATTAAGCCGAAGGCCCTGGCGTTAGATAAAGAAAGGCATTATTGGACCGACCACCTTATCTTGGAATTTCAGCTATACAAATCTATGATACAGCATGATGAAAGCATGCATTTTTACAATATATATCATGATATAATAAATTCATGATAAGTTCATGCTTTGCTGAGAAGTTCGGCAAATGCACGTATGTGAATTATATATGCTCCCTTTTTAAGCGTGGAAGGCACTCAAAAAATCCATTCAGCTGGATTTTTGCATAAAATCGGTACCACTAGGAAGATATAGCTTTTGTTAGAGCTGGGATTTACTATTTATGCATGTAAGACAAGATTAATTAACAGATAATTATTGAGCAAGCTCTAACTTTACTTGGTCAATAAGAAAAATATCAACAACTTAATAAAGGTAGTGAGATGCGAAGGACGCATGGCAGACAAGTAAAATTCAAGAAGTGACTTGTCAATTTGTCACTAAACCGAAAAAAAAAATCGAATCTTGATCTGGCCCATTTTTTGGATAGGCAAACCGAATCAACCTAGCTAACATAACTCAGTAAGGAGGTTGGTCTGTGCTAGTTTTGAGACTCAAGCTTACCTGACAGTTTACCTTGAAAACTTGTCACCGCGAATCCTGAGGGCTAATTTTTTTTAAAAATCATATATATACCATTAAATAAAATTCAATTGATTTAGAATTTGTTTGATAATGTTGATTTTTTAAAGTAGTTTTTATTTAAAAATATATTAAAATAATATTTTTTTTTAATTTTTAAAATTTATTTTGAATATCTGCATATTAAAATGATTTAAAAAAATAAAAAATTAATTTATAATAAAAAATTATTTTTTTATAAAAAATTTAACCGCAAAAACAAATGAGGTTTTAGCATAACTAACCATGATCCAAGTGACTTGGTTAACTTGTAAAAAAAAATTTAGATGATGTTGTTTAGAAAAAAATTAGAAAAAACAAACAATTGATGTTAATTGAACTGCTGACCAATGAGTTTACGCATAAAACCTATAGCCTGCCAGGTCTCATGGGTAAGACAGGGTTTCAAAACAATGGTTTTTGTTTCTACAAAACCTTCAACACCAAATTATGCTGAAACACATTAATTTGTCACTTTTATTTACAATCTTGAATTTCAAGGAACTCTAAATTATGCATATCAAACGGCCAAAGGTGATTTATGTGGTTCCTGAAAAAAAATTGATTTTTATGTATTTTTACAAAATAAATTTTGATTTGAATTCTTGTAAGACACCTTCAAAAGCAAATAAAATCGCATAGTACCCTAAGTAGGCATTGAGTCAAATTTTGGTTCACTGGTTCGTACTCTTTCGAACTAGGAAACTACTTTTTAAAAAAATATATATAAAAACTTCTTAAATTTAATTTTTTTAATCTAGAAATGTTTGTTCCTATTTGTTAAATCCACAACACATAATTCCAAATAAATACGTTTGACTCTAGCATATGTTAAAAATTGCTAAACTTAATAATTAATATTATTATTTTTCTCTCATCTAATATATATATATATATTAGTACATTTAAAATAAATTCTGCGAATAGGAAAACATGACAAGTCATGTTCTTTTCAAACATAAGAAACCTGAATCTAGGAAAAAAATTCATAGGTGGTTGCATGATTTGCAAGAGCAGACCATAACATCGTGCAAAAAATATTAGAACTATAACAAGAGAAGAAAACCAATGACTCTTAACGTCAAACTGTTAAACGAAAACTCTGTACCTACCTTAAATGTGCATGAATATGGTCTCTAATTTGACAGGCTGAGAGCTGCAGGAAGCAGCAGCAGCAGTACTGAAATGTGAAAGCACGAAAGAAGAAATACTAACACTACTGTGGATTAAGCAAGAACGTGTGGAAAATATTGGGGTGCAAGTTACAAAGGAGGAGCCAAAATAATGGTTTTGAAGTAAAATATTAGGAGTATATATAGTATTTTGCACTAATGGAAAGATCATTTACTTGTGGAGTTCTGGTGAAGTCAAGAGCATGAATGGACTTCGAAATATAAATGGATATGTCCAAAGAACATACTTATTGTGCTGTGTCTTCTCTACTGATCATAGAGCTAGTCACAAAGGGACAGAAAAAAATCCTAGGAGTAGAAAAGCACGTGAAGTGACTATGTTTTGACATGGACATTTCCTTGTTTCAACAAGCTGGACCCTTTTCTTTCTTTTTTCTTGTTCGTGGTTGCACACAATCAGTGTGTTTCCTTTGCTAGACAGAGTGCGCGCCTGCAAAGTTGAAGAAAGATTGTCCATGCGCATGAAATTTTATCAGTGGCTGGCAATATTTGAGGGGTGTGGGTGAATAACTAGGGTTTTGTTAAGAATTGTTGTTTGTGAGGGAAGCTAACATCATATAATTTATGAACTACTTGAAACAATTCCATGTGACCGCTAATTATGTTCTTTCCACCCACAAATCCCCAAGCCCATGCCTTTTTTCTGCCCCACCAGTCTCTAAAGTTTTGGGCAGCAAACCTGTTTTCTGACTAAAATCAAAGCAACCGTTGGTTGATTGATGCTCCCTTCCCTTTATTGTTTCCCTCAATTCTCACATTATGATTTCATAAGAAAGTATTGGCTCGACTCTTGGGACCGAGATCCATGGTGCTTTCATCCCTTCCGCATTGACTTTCCCTTGACCAGGGTTCCTTACAGAACAAGTTGCAGTTTGGTAGCTTTGTGGGGGGTTTAGCTTAGAAAGGCCTAGCCCAACCCATCTGAAAGAAATTGGAAATTTGGTCTCCATCAACCCAAACCCTACCGAATCAGGGCTTCCATGATCTCCCACAGGCAAATGCCAGAAAAATTTATGATACCACATTTTGATGGAACATTGTAAATCTTCTATTATTTTCCTTGTGTGTTGGTATAATTTTTTAAAAAAAAAAAGGGAAGAAGAAGAAGAGCCAGAGCAAAAGGTACGATTCCAAGCTGGAATGTTATTTGTTGCATAGTTTATCTTCTTTTTAATGTATTTTTTTTTATCAGTGGAATTACTTTTTAATATTTCTAATGCATTGATATAAGAAATTAAAAATAATCTGCAAAAAATACTTTTAAACAATTATCCATCAGGATCACGAACACGCGATAAATAGTCAATCAAGAATTACGGATTTTTCAAGATTTTTAGATGACTGTAATCATTGCAAACAGAAACCTGTTTCACATTCCAGAAAAACAAGAAGACAATTCTTGATCTAACTGGTCCTACAACACTTCCTTTTAGCTTACATCTTCAATTAAAATCCTTAAATCACCCAAGGTACCTCAAAGCATACAGGCACCCAAATGATTTAGCAAACTTGTAAAAAAAAAAAAAAAAAAAGGAAAGGAATATGTTCACACAATTTGATAAAAAAAGTCAAGATCCACCATCATAACATAGAATTCTACTTGAGCGCACGCGTTATCCTCTTCAGTGATATAGTGGGACATTAATGAACAGGATAATTTCCATATGGCAAAAGGTATGATTGTGCTCTTCGTTAAGGATAAGGGGTACAATCGATTCAAGAAACTAGATGAAACACAAAATGTTGCATACAATTCTTGCATGTAAAGTCAAATGATATTTAAGAAAATGGATTAATTTAATCATGTTCGGTATGTTGCTTTGAGATGAATGAAGGACAACAGATCCCCAATGACCTAAATTACATAGAAAAGGGGGGCCAAGCTCCCCAAGGAATTAATAAAGAAAAAAAAAACAAATGAAAAATGATACCATGAAGCTTTCTACTAACAAGAATGAAGTTCCATGTCTAATCTACACAGCTAAATGAGGGGTGTGCTACGAGTCCACACAGCTGACAACAAAAACAGAGTCAACTTCTAATGCAATCATAAGAAACCTTTAACTGAAAACCAAAACTGCGGCGCAGACCGCCATCAGCACAGTGAAAAACAGATCAGGATTGCCCTGGAGAATCGATCCTGCAGAATCTTTGTGACCTCGATCCCTGAAGATGCAAACAGAATATTAGCTGTTCATATGGGAAAAAGCAAGAGGGAGAGAGAGAGAGAGATTTATGAAATGGTGTGAGAGGGAGAGAGATTTATGAAATGGTTTCTGATACGTACTGCTGTTTGTAAGCAAGAGCACCACAAAATAGAACATTGTCAGGGGGGGGCATCTCTGTTTCGCCGTTTTCCTCGGGATTGGTGATTTTCATATATGTTTCTTGGCCGAGATACCATCTATCAAGATTTTCTACCCTCAGATTCCATATTCCAACATTGTCAAGGGAAGCGAGGACTGCTGTCCATCCCCCAGGGTAAACCTAAACACAAAATAGAAAAAAAGGGGGGCTTGCTGAGAAACTATATAAGGTTCATCCCAGAATCTCCAAAAATTAATAATCCTCTTAGCATGCTAATCAATTAAAGCTGCTTTTACAACAGATGGATAAGCAGATAAAAGATACCCAAGGAAAGAATGTAGAAAATCTCCAGAACTAAAATAGCCCTGCAACGACATAAAAACATATACATGCAACATATACGGTAACACATGGTCCAGATAGAAAAACCAACCTCTATTGTACAGCGAGAAATAGAATCCCACTTATTGTATGAACCTCTGCTGTTCTCTGACCAAATCCCCCAGTCCATACTGAATTTGGAACCACAAATTGTTATATGACAATTCCAAATTCCAACAGCTAGCATATTAGAAGAAAAGGAGTGCATTCTT